TTTATAAGTCCCAAGAAAGTGTGAGTCCAAAAAAATAACAAAAATATGTTGAAAATTTTGATGACACAGCAGAATTCACTAAGTTTATTCAGTTATTCGGAAATCGGAAGTAAAAAACGTCGGAAATCGGAATTGATAAATAGGAAGTGTCAAAACATGCAAATGCATATTTTGCATGCGGATATGCCATTTTTGCAGATACGCTTTGTCGAGAGAAGCCCAAATATGCCATTAGTTTTTCGATATTATGTTTCTGAACAAAGTTACATTTCAATATATTTCAATATTTTTCCAATTTTCCCGTTACTTCAATATTTCGCACTTTTTGCAAATTATTTTAATATTTTTGCATATTTTTACCAAAATTTTGGGATTTTTCATAAATCTTAAGAAAAAAATGAAGAAATCCGGCTTCTTGACCTTCCAAAATTCTCAAAATTTTCGCCTGCGGCGCTGAAAAAGGGGTATATTGGCGTATTCTGACAAAATCGGCAAAATAACTGTCGCTCAGCCTAAATTGAAGCTGGCGCCCCCAAAATGCCGCTTCCTGAACAAAAACCCCAAATTGTCCCGCTGAAACCCCACAAATGTCCCACTGAAGAAATCACATAAATATCCCATCCCCAATTTGGCCCGTCTAAAAATGCACAAGAGTAAAAATACTCAATTTATCGAAGTATAAATCTAATATGCAGTTTTAAAGACGGAATTAATTTTTTTTCTAAAATTCAACATTTTTTTTTATTTTTACTAATGAATAAGCCATAATTTATTTCAATATTTCACTAATTTTTTGCATTTTTTGTCAATATTTTGGCAGTTTATTTCAATATTTTATGGCCATATTTGGCGAATTTATTTCAATAAAAATCCGCCCCCTAGTTATGTATTGAAATAATTGACATATGCATGAAATATGAAAGTATGTAAAATATAGCAGAATTCAGAGTTATTCATCCAATTTCATGTTTAAATTTCTTCACATTATTTAAAAATCATTTTTATTTAAAAGTTTGGACAGTTGAATACTTGCTTTGCTTTACTCGCACAATTTGCATTTAAAAGATAATTCTAAATTAAATTAATTAAACTAAAAAATATTTTCTTTAATTTAACTGTTGTCATACATCCGCAAAATCTTTTGACAGCGTAGGCTCTGAATTTAAAATTTTATTTTTTAAAAATCGATTTCTCGTCTCAGTCTCGGATTTTTTGGTATACTCCGGTTATAGTTATTCTGAAAAGTTTCCTAATCCTAAAAATAGGAATCTTAGCTAATTATTTTCTGAAAATCAAACATGTCAGGAATAAACTATTTTGGCAGCCACCCCGCACACTCCCCCTGTTAAGTCTCAAATTAAACTTCCTTTTGTTGAGTATTTTAGGTAAAAGGCAAGTAAAGTAGGGTTGCCAGCTCGTTCGAACCGGTCACCCCACATTAAAATCCCAATCCTAACCTATCACTTTTATTATTATTATTAAATCTTTACCCAGTCTTAACATCACAACATTGAGCAACTTGATAAAAATTTGATAATTGTTGTAAAAAATAAAAAAAATATAAATAGGTATATTATTAATTAGTAATGTGTTTATTTGAATGGCACTAATAATCATTGAAATTTTATTATTCTAGAGACCAAGAAGTTATCTCGACCTGAACCGCATCCAGGATTTTTAAAGAATATTATGTTTAGAACTAATAAGATATTTGTTTCCGGGCAACCTCTCTTACAGTACTGCTCACTTGGACTTTTAAAAAAAATAGGTTGCTTCCCCGACAGGGCTGGACGCAATTGCGGATTGCGTATTGCGGATTGCGTGTTTTTTTGACTTGCGGATTGCGTATTGCGGCTGCGGATTTTAAAATTAAAATTGCGGATTGCGTATTGCGGCTGCGGATTTTTACGATTTTTACGCAATTTTCACGCAATTTTTTGAAATTTCACGCACCATAAATGGAAGAAATCTGGCCCTTTGGCCTTCCAAAATTCTCAAAATTTTCGCCTCCGGCGGTAAAAAGAAAGAAATCTGGCCCCTTGACCTTCCAAAATCCTCAAAATTTTCGCCTGCGGCGCTGAAAATGGGAGATTAAAAGTGATATTTAGGGATTAGTAAGATTCAGGGGATTTAGCGAGATTAAGGGAATATCATGGGATAATATTTGGATTTGGATTAATAATGGGTTATTGTTGGGTTGGGTGATATCGGAGCTTTGATGGATGTTGTAGAATTAAGATGAATATAAGATTACTTGGTGATTCTGGTGGATATCGAAAATCCGGGCAGATTAAGAGGTCTATAGTGGATGTATCTTGATTTTAAAGGATATAGAATATATTTCTTTTATCTCTCTTAATATTGCTCTTCATCATACTCTAAAGTGGTATACCAAATTGAATTTGGATATATCGCGGGATTTAAATAGAATATAGAAGGATTAAGGCGGATAGACTCGGATTTAAAGGGATTAAGGTGGATTCCCCCTGCTCTGAATCTCTCTCAATCCCTTCAAATTCCTAATCTTCTATATCCTTCCAAATCACTGATATCACATGGAAGCTTCCCTAACACTTCAAATCTCCTTATTTTCCCAGACTACCACTTATTTCAAAAATTGCGGATTGCGTATTGCGGATTGCGTGAAATTGCGTGTTTTTTTGACTTGCGGATTGCGGATTGCGTCTGCGGATTTTAAAATAAAAATTGCGAGTTGCGGATTGCGGCTGCGGATTTTAAAAATAAAATTGCGAGTTGCGGATTGCGGCTGCGGGAAATTTTTTTTCAATTGCGTCCACCCCTGTTCCCCGAATTTCGGTAACGGTGAATAACCTCTAATGGAACCCCTAATTGAAAAGAGACAAAAAATTTATTTCATACCTTTTTCCTTCATACCACAATCTTTAAATAGAGAATTTGCACTCTAAAAATTAATAAGATTTAAAAAATAATAATTATAGGATACATTGTCATGGTCAACATCTCCACAAAATTTTTCTGGAGTTGTAGTTGGATTTGTAATCGCAAACACATGGGAAATTAAATAAAATGAATAAGCAATTAACAAAATATTCATATTGTTCATTTTCTAAAATATTTTTTAGAAATTAAATAAGGGCAACTTTTTTTTGCTTTTTATATATGGAGTAGAAAATTTTAATGGAAAGTTTAGTTGAATCAGAAAAATATCAATAGGAAGCACTGATTTGCAAACCCATGAAATTTTATGCAAATCGTGGAAAAATTGTTCTTGACGGCCGTTTTGAGCACTTTATATCTGCACTCTCAAAATAAACCTGCTTTTTAAGGGGTTATTGAATATTCGACTCCAAAACTAAGACCAATCCTGACTATGATTTTTCAATTCTGTAAGGATGATTCACCCAGCAGCATTTAAAACGCTTAGGCGGGGGTAAACGACCAAAAAGGGTAAAAGAGAAAGCATTAGTCGATGCCCCGGTAGTTCAGAGGTAGAGCTCCTGCATATAGCGAGCGAAAGCGACTAGCGCCAACTAACAGGTGGTCGCATGTTCGAATCCTGCTCGGTGGCTAAACTTTTGCAAACTCTTTCTATTCTATGTAAGTTCACAAGCATTCCTTACATATAGAGTGTGGGGATTTAGCGCCTTTTGCGGATTTTATCTATGAAAGTGAGTGCGTCATTCCCTGCCTTCCCTCGCCCAAGGTTTAATAATGCTTAAAGCTCATGAATTTTAAACATGATAAAAAATCTTTTATATTGGCAGTGGCTTTACAAGCAATTAAATCAACCAACGTCATACTTTTAAAAATCCAACACGAATAAAAATTTATAAATTCGCCCATCCCTTCGATTTTTGTATTTTACCCGTTAATAAAAAAACTTTGTTAAATTCTTTTGCGTCATTAATCCAAATATAGAACCCATTTAAAATTTTTTAAAATTTTTTTTGCTGCAAAAAGCTTGATAAACTTTGATCATTAGCTTTCCAAAAATAGAGAAAAATATTTTTAAATATCCCTAATAAACATTAAAGCTGCAATAAAAATCAGCGAGCCGTACGGACGCACCATAAGATATCGCTAGCCCAAGGTGCCGCCGTGCTATAACTTTCTTCAAAATAGTCGAATCCGGGACGCCTTGGTATGGTTCCTTGGTATGGTTCGATGCATCTCGACGAGCTGAATCGAACCATACCAAGGCGTCCCGGATTCGACAATTTTGAAGAAAGTTATAGTTCTGCGGTAAGTTGGCCTCGCGGTACCTTGGGGTGTGTCTGAGCCCTATACATTTTTTGATACAAGGGATAATTTTATTTTAATAAAATAATAAATATAATAATCGTGTGGGAATATAACAATAATTTTTCTTTTTATTTTTTACGGCATCCAAATCGGTTGTAATGGGGCAGCTTTCAATTTTTCCAAATCTAATTGTTTATCTATTGTTTCATCAACCTCTCCAACAATTGCTCTAAAATTAAATTTATTGGGGGTTTAAAGAGATATTAAAGTAAAGGTATACTAATTTCGGAACTAAACAGACTCCGATTGTGACAAATTATAAAAATTTTACCAAAATTATTCCTGAAGTTAATAACTCAAAAAAAATAAATTTTTAAAAGAAATAATTGCCCCCACCTAAATAATTACCCCGCTTCTATAGATTACCCCAATCAGCGGGAGGTCGAAACAATAACAACTTATGGTAGTTATCAAGGGATATACGGTAAATATTTATTTCTATGAAGTCTAATTATTTAAAAATCCCATTTTTCTTGAGGGTTAGGATTGGTTAAAGGGTGAAAATGGTTGAAATATAGGATATTTATAATAATTTTAATTAAAATTATTTTTCTTTCCCAATATACATAAATTGTCTAAGAAAAGACTTGAAAGTTCTTTCCTACCAACAACAAAACAACTTATAAGAACCTGTTCTCCTAAAGAATAAACTTGTGACAAAAAATAATAACTCAAAATTATTTTTTACCGCAAACATTTAATAATTCAAATTTTCCTCACACATTATCCCCGCGAACAATGTAAAGGCCAAGAGGTATTTGAGCAACTCCAGTTTCCAAACTGCAAAAGAAAATTTTTTTTAATTTTTTTTTCTCTCCAAAAATCTGTACCTATAAACTCGTTCATGAGAATCTTCCAATACAATATTTACTGTTTGATCAAATCCCCGCATTAATCCAACAATATTTCGACCATCTCCGGTAATTACAGAAATTGTTTTGTTGACAAAAGAATCCAAATCCATTTAATTTTTAAGGAAAAAATTTTTTTTAAACTAAAATTTAAAAAAATTTTAAGCAATGCAACCTCTGTGAATTAAAAAAAAAGTCTGCAAGTTTCAAAAAGTCCGCAAGTCTTTAAAAAGAATCCGCAAATCTTTAAAAACCGCAATTTTCAAAAAATCCGCAAGTTTTTTTAAAAATCCACAAATTTCGAAAAGTCCGCAATTTTTTTAAAGTCCGCAAATTTTTTTTAAAAAAGTCCGCAAGTCTTTAAAAAAATCCGCAAATTTCAAAAAATCCGCAAACTTTTAGAAAAATCCTCAGGCTTAAAAAACGCGTGCGTAAAAAATTTTCCTTATTGCGAAATATCCTGTTTCAAACCCAGGTAAATCCCAAATATTATACTAAATAGTAATCCTAATTTCAATTTAAAAAATAAATTAAAAATGAAAAACACAAAGATAAACTTGATATATTAAAAGATAAAAAAATCTTTTTTAATCGAAAAAATACATTCAGCACAAAAACACATTTATTCTGTTTACTCTCCATAATTAAATGGAATTGTGTTGTTTAAAAACAACAAAAATACAAAATACGAGTAAAAACAATATTTATAGTAAAAACACAAAACAGAATGTGTATTTTCTTGTGTTTTGAGGAAATGTTCTTTTTGTTGCGCAAAAATACAAAAATTCGTAAAAACACAATATATGTATTTTATTACTTTCAGAATCAGAATTTTAAATTAAAAATGTGTTTTCTTTTTAATTCTGGTTTTCTGAAAAAATACAAAAGAGAAAATACAAAAGTTCGTAAAACACAATATATGTATTTTCAGAATCAGAATTTTTAATTAGAAAATGTGTTTTCTTTTTAATTCTGGTTTTCTGAAACAAAAATACAAAAAATACAAAAGGAAAAATACAAAATACCTTGTATTTTCCACTGAAATAATTCTTTTTTTCGTTTTTTTGGTGATGAATTTTCTAGACTCCACAGCTGAAGGACTGCAGTTGAAAAAAAATATATAAAGTATGGAAAACAATAATGTAAAACAATAAAAACACAAACAAAATGTATATGGGAATTAAAGAAGTGAAATAAACACGTTTAAGTGTTTTAATTTTTGTGTTTTATTTAAAATTCTGATTTGTGTATTTTCTTATCGAAATTCAGATTTTTGTATTTTCTGTTTAAAAATTCTGATTTTTGTATTTTCTTATTTAAATTCTGATTCTTGTATTTTTGTTTAAAAATTCTGATCCTTGTATTTTTATTTAATATTCTGATTTTTAGTCAAATTAGTTCTCATATTTTTACCTACATAAACGTGTTTATTTTCACTTCTTAAAATAGAATTTTTCGTGAATCTCTGCGGATATAAATACAAAATATAGGCTAGTTTTATTTCAACAAATAAATCTAACCCCTTTATTAACAGACAAAAAAAAGAAAGATTTGAGTCAACGCGAATTGGGTATTTTCTGCGGCCATTAAATGGCCAAAGTGGTAAAAAGAATTTTTGGGAAGATTTTTAATTTTGGATTAATAATTAATTTTTAAATTTAATCCAAAATGTATTTGAAGGAAAAAATTGAAATTAAAAACACACACTTTTTGTTAATGGTAAGGTTTAATTAATAGAGAATAAAAAATTTTTCAGAGCTGTATTTTTATTATTCTGATTTTTGTATTTTTTATTCAGAATTCTGATTTTTGTATTTTTTATTTAAAAATTCTGGTTATTGTATTTATTATTTAAATTCTGATTTTTGTATTTTATTCTAAATTCTGATTTTTGTATTTTTTGTTTAAAAATTCTGATTTTTGTATTTTTATTTTAAATTCTGATTTTTGTATTTTTATTTAAAAATTCTGGTTTGTGTATTTTTTACCTAAATTCTGGTTGTTGTATTTTCTTATTTAAATTCTGATTTTTGTATTTTTTGTTTAAAAATTCTGATCCTTGTATTTTTTATTTAAAATTCTGATTTTTAGTCTAATTAGTTCTTGTATTTTTACATACATAAACGTGTTTATTTCAACTTCTTAAAATAGAATTTTTCGTGAATCTCTGCGGATATAAATACAAAATATAGGCTAGATTTATTTCGACAAATAAATCTAACCACTTTATTAACAGACAAAAAAAGAAAGATGTGAGTCAACGCGAATTGGGTATTTTCTGCGGCCATTAAATAGCCAAAGTGGTAAAAAGAATTTTTGGGAAGATTTTTAATTTTGGATTAATAATAATTAATTTAAATTAAATCCAAAATGTAGATATTTTTATTTGAAGGAAAAAAATGAAACTAAAAACACACACTTTTTATTAATGGTGGGTAATTAATAGAAAATTTAAAAAAATTTTCAGAGCTGTATTTTTAATCTGATTTTTGTATTTTCATTTAAAATTCTGATTTTTGTAATTCTGATCCTCTATTAAAAAAATTCTGATCCTCTATTACATAATTTAAGCGTGTGTTTTTAAATAAAAATTAAACAAGGAAAGTCGAAAATACAAAGGACTATAATTATAATAAATAAAGAGAGCATTTTGTAATAGATAATTGGGGGAAGAATGTTCAAGGCATTTTTTCGGAAAATTAGCCAAAACCTAAACAATTTTATAGGTATTTCTTAAACATGAGTGACATTTCTTGACTAAATAATTTAGCTTAAAAAAGATAATTTTAAGCATAAATATACTTTATCTACCCTTAAATGAGCTTTGTATAAGGGTAAAAACAGGGAGAGGTAGGAGAGAAGTCTGAGTCGTTAAAAAAATTTTTTGGACTAAAAAAATTTTTTTTTCGAAAATTTATAAATTAAATAAGTGTCTCATTTCAGTCCGAACTCACTAATAATTTAAAAATTGTCCAAAAAACTTAAAAGGACAGCTAAAAATAATTATAGCTAGGAGGTCCATTTAATATAATTTCCTTCTAAGCATCGAGAATTAAAAATTTAAATTTACAGCTCAGACCTCTCTCTTTTCAATCTTTCAACAACAAAAAAATTAATTAATTAACGCGTGTTTTTGAATAGAAAAATTTTGTGTAAAGGCATAGATGTTGAGTAAACAACATGTGTATATAGTAATTAAAACATAAATCAACAAAAAAATTTTTTTTTCTCATTTTTATGTAGTGGAGAGAAATGAGAGTAAAACAAAAAGAAAAAAATATAATGATGGAAAGATAAAATATTTTTGTTAGGCTAAAAATTTTATAATTTTTACCTATTTTAGTTGTTTAAAAAAAATTTTTTTTGACGGAAGAATAGGGTACAGCCCAAGTAGGCGCGCGGCCAGCAAAGCCATAATTAGCTGGAAAATTTTTGGCCCTAAACAATTTTGGTACCATTCTCTCTAGCTCGATGAGAGGATTCGTTTGATACTAAATTTGGTAAAATTAGGCAATTTTGAAGCAAGTTAAGGCTTTGCGCCCGTTATGGCCGTGCGCCGATTTGGGCGTGTCCTGGAAGGATAAATTGTTTTGTTCCTTAAAAAATTCCCTTAAATTACTAAAGTATGTCAAAACTTCTTAAAAAATTTCCTAAACCCTCTCTAAACTTCCCCCAACCCTTTCTCTCCCCTAGTTAGAAAAATTAGCTTTTTCATTTTTCAGATTTTTAAAGATGTAAAAAAAATAAAATTATTGTTCTACATTGAGACATAAACATGTAATGAACATAGTTACAACAATTTTGAATAAATATATAAAATAATATAGGTAATAGATAGGTAAATATGGTGGGTAGGTATTCTATATTTTTGTGTGTTTTTTCTGCTTGAAATTTCAAATAATTTGGAGTTCAAAACAGAAAAGAATTCAGCACGCTTACAAAGGAGTGCCTGGGGTACCCCCGGGACTTCGGGATGAAATTTGGTAGAGAGGTAGATCATACCCTAATTTAGCTTACAACTCGGTCTCCGGTACCATTTAGAAGAAATGGTGCAAAAAGTAGGGTATGATCTATCTTTCAACCAAATTTCATCCCAAAGTCCCGCGGACACCCAAGGCACTCTCCCTTTGTTAGACGCAAGTTTCAAAAAAAATTCTGCTTTTTTCAAGATTCTCATCTTAAAAAAATTAAATTCACAGCACCTATAAATCCACGACTAAAATTAGAACAATTTTAGCCTAATCCTCTTCTTAAAAATTTTTTCTTTTCAAAGGAAAAAACCCACAAAAATATATACTTAAAAGGAATTAATAAAACAACAAACAAATAAAAGGATCGGAAAGAAAATTTTTTTGGGGAGGACTTTTTTTTGCTCAAATAATAATATTTTTTTACTAAAAGGAATAATAAAACACAAACAAAATTAGCGCTTTTTTTGTTTTTTATTTTGTTTAAAATAAATCTCAAAACTTAACATTTTTTTTCCACGCCGTAGCCAATAAAACATTTTTAGAGAAGAGAAAGATTTGAGCAATATATTTAGATATATATTTTTATGTAGTAGTAGATCAAGTTGGAAATTGAGGAGCAGCAACAGCTGTAGATGAAGCAGCAGTGGGTGCAGCACCATACCAAGCACCTCCATTGTATGCAGCGTTATACCTTTTTATATAAATTTTAAAGGAAATTAGAAAAAATTGAGAAATTCTAATTTTTCTATTTATATCAAAAGAGTATCACGGGGCTCGGTTTCGGAGGGAGGGAGGGGGCTAAGATTGAGTGTGCGCCTCTGGATACGTCCGAGACGCACACCCAAAACCCTTGAATACACCCTCGACTTATACTTGGAGATTCATAAAAAAAGTTAATGTAAAAATAGTCTTTAAAAAATTTTTTGTAAAGTTGAAATTATTGATAAAAATTGCTTAAAGTGTTTTCTAATAAACCCAGAAAAATTTGAGAATATTTAGGTAGGGAGTTATGATCTTTAAAATTTGAAATTGTTGTCGAAAACGCACTGTAAATTCACCCCGTGTTTCATCTCCCCAAAAATTTTTGAAAACAACCTCCATGATAAAAAAATTGGCGATAGATTAATCTTACCCTATGGCAACTCAAATGTTCTTATTCTTCTCCATTTTTCTCAAAATTTTTTTGGGTCTATTTGCTCTTTTTCTTCCCCATTGAAGAGTTTTTTGGGTCTATTTGAGTCGTCACAGGCCAAAAATTAATCGATTGCCAACATTTGTCAAAAATAAAATTTAAAAAAACCATGCAGCAGTAGCATTCATCTGGTGATACCAAGCAGCCGCCGAAGTTTGAGCAGCTTGATGCGGAGGATAATACAATTGCATTTGATGTTGAGGTTGATGGTGTTGTTGATGGTGAAGATGAGAATCGCCTCCACCGCCTCCCCCAGTCAAATAAGCAGAATTTCCACCACCACCACCACTCGCAGCACATCTAATACCTCCACCACCATAACCTCCACGCAAAAGAAGTCCACCACCCGTTGAACGAGAAAAGTTACCAATACCTCCAAGTCCTCCAAAATGAGGTCGACGACTCTGTGGGACAGCTTTTTTGACGTCACACTGAGAAAAAACACAAAAAAGTTTAATCCGATTATAGCCAAATATTCCCTAGGATTGTGTGCAAGACTAGTGAATTTTCGCCGGTGACGACTCAAATGTTAGTAAAATTTCACAATTGAGCCGACACAGACTTAAATTAACAGGTCGAACAGAATCCTAATTTTCCCCTTTCCTTTCTCCATTTTCTTATAATTAATGATGTTCAAAGCACATAACGATCAGGGAAATACTTATTTAGAGAAAAAATCGTAATAAAACAAGGCGTACAGATTTAAGCAAAGAATCCCTCTAATAAGTTGCCTTTAGAACCTACTTGACCCACAGATATATTGCTTCAATATAGTTTTAATCTCTGACTATTATGGACCACTAGAGTTGGCCAAGACTCTTGTTCTTGAGCCATGACTTCAGATTTTCTAGGATCTTCTTAAGTATTGGGGCAAAGTCATGATCTTGAGTCTTAGAAAATTTTGACGCTTGGGCAGCTCTATGAAAACCGCTCATAACTTATAGGAGAATGGAGAAAAAAGAGCAAAAACCAAAAGTGGAGGAACAATCGGATATCACCGAAATTTAAAAGAAACCTCTCGATCAGCAAAATTCTGTTTAGGATGAGCAGCAGCTTTTTCAGCAGCCTCTTCAGATTCAAAAACAACAAACGCAAAACTCTTGCGTGCCTTGCTAACTTTGTCCAATGGCCATTCAACATCTTCAACACGTCCATATTGTTGGAAATGCTCGCGCAGCTCATTCTCTGTAAAACAAAAATTTTAAAAAGGAGTTTTAAAGGATTTTAAAAAGGACTTTCCTCTAAAAACCACCAATATTAGAGGGAGGGGCTTGAAAAAACTTATTTTTATAATTTGGTAGGCTTCTAAATTGGGGAAAAATAAATTTAACCACCCCAGAAGAACATCTACAAAGGTGGTCATTAAACAAAAACGAAGCCTTTTTACGTTATTTGTGATCGATTAAACGAAACCATGGGAATGAAAACCGGTTATAACCAAAAAGCTAGCTATCATAGAAGCCAACTTTCTTGCATTTTCAGCGCCGCAGGCGAGAATTTTGCGGGTTATGCGTTAAAAATTCAATTTCTGATTTCCCTCCAAAATTTTTTTCATTTTCCCCATTTCAGGGTGGATATAGGCCCAGAAACCGCTCTGGCTACGCCCTTGAGATTCATAACCGACCGCAAACAAATAAAGCTATAATCGGAATTAAAAATAAACAGAAAATCTCCCAATAAAATTCCAAAAGGTTTGGACGCTAGCAAAGAAATCCCAACAAGTCCTCTACCAAAAAATTCAAAATTTATTTATAAACCTGAAAAATCAATTGGCAAACCACCAACAAACACTTTCTTGTTCTAAAAAATATTTAAAAATCATGAAAAGTCATTAAAAAAATAAACCATATATCCAACTTCACGCGTTTTTGCAGGCTTGATTTCACATTGTTTTCCTTTAATTGTCTGTTCACGAAGTGTCAGTGAAGCTCTACAGCCATCAACCGTTTCAAATTCGACAAAAGCAAATCCGCGAGAGCGTCCAGTCTTTTTTAATGAAAAAATCGATAAATCGATAATTTAAATGAGAATGTTTATTGGGAAAAAATTTTTATAGTTAATTAACCCCTAAAATGGTCATTCCTCGATAAAAAAATGAATAATAGAAACTGTTGAAAATATGAGAATTTCCGAGTTTTGCCAACTTTTCCCTTGTTCAATCGGTTCATAACGATCGAAGTTCCTTCCTTCATATCAATCTATCTCCTCAAGACATTCAATGTTACTTATAAAAGATTCAAGTTTTCCCTATATTTCTAATTTTTCTTTTGTTGTGATTAATCAATAACTTGACTAGGATAAAAAACGAAAAGGACGGCAAAACTCGAAATTACGTAATTAGGACATTTAAATCCATAACCCTTTGTTATTTTCGGGTAATTGACACTTGACCAAGGAAAATCAAAAAAATCCTTAAAAACGTTTGGACACGAAAAATCAAAGAGATGAAAGAAAATCTGAAACAATTCAAAGGTGGGGGGCAATTTAAGTCGGCCCACATTTCTTCAAGTTCTCCGCTCAAAAAAAGTCCTCGAAAGTCCTCGAATTAAAAATATACTCAAATTAGAGATCGGAACGGGACCCTGACCCGTTTCCCGATTTTCGGGTCCATTTTCCTGGTTTTTAAGCAACCGGGATGAAACCCGGACCGGGAATTCCCGGTCCGGGTCCCTCCCGGTCAACTTTCAGTGAACCGTTTCCCAGACCCGGTTTTTTCAAAATTCCAATCTCTAACCTAAATAATTAACATAAAAAATATACCATCCGATCGTATTTAACTTGAGCTTCCTTAATAGAACCAAACTGCGAGAAGTGCGAAGCCAAATCATCCCCAGTTGTGTCATAGCTAATTCCGCCACAGAAAATTTTTCTAAACAAAAAAATTGAAACTCAAAAAATTCCCCAAAAAAAATAAACTTTTGTTCAGTCCCATCATCATTCGGCTCATCACTATCCTCAACAACAATTTCATTTTGTTCAACAATTGTTTTTGAATCATAACCGTTATTTTCAGTTTTGTCGTTTGTTGCTTGATCATTCTAAAAATTATTTTTTAAATTATTTGAGAAGTGAGGAAAAATGGGTAAAAAAGTAAAAAATGAAGAGAAAGTTTATTCCTTAAGGTGTGTCTTAATTCCGATTCCCGCAAAAATTTTGATTTCCGACTTTTGAGCCAGTTCCGATTTCCGACACCTCTGACTGTTCCGACCCAACTTTGACAGTTCCGACCGGCAGGCCGAAACTTGCGGACCGACTTTTGCGGACCGAAACTTGCAGACCCACGAATTTCTCAAAACATAGCTCATTCGAAAGAGCTCGACGAGCTGAGTCGAATGACATCAAAATCATCGTGATTGTACAAGCTTGGACAAAGTTACGATATAAAAACAAAAACATAAACCCCTGGTCCGCAAAAGTCGGTCCGCAAGTTTCGCAATACCTTCCGACCCACCTCTGGTTCAAAGGACTTGATGTTAGATTTTTTATGGCAAATAAAACTGTCCTAAAACCTCTACCCAAGAATAATCCCTTTTGAAAGCTAAAAGAAAACACTTAAAATTGCCAACAAAACTAGACTGCCGTTGGAAAAAGAGATGTGACAATTATCCAGAACCCAATATACGGACATTTTGACAAGAAACTCAATAAGAAAATTTTGATACGCTTTTCTTTTCAATCCGGCTTATCCCTAATCGGAATCTCTAAGGAACTTCCCTCTTTCATGAATCACTTCTTTCCTTTCTATTCCCTTTCGAAAGGCTACAAAAACCCCCATAAAGCCCAAGAAAACAAAAACACAAAGCCAAGACAAGCCCCAGATTAGAGCACCCTAATCAATACCAAAAAGAAAACCAAAAATTCCAATCCCCAAAATGCCTTCCCTTCCAACCCCCCAAAATCATAAAAAAATTTAAACCTCTCTCCAATGAAATTAAAACAAACCCCGCTATTATTAGATCCATCTCTCTCCCTGTCTTCCACTTGTTGTTTGTTATTACGTTCTGTTGACGTTAATGCCATACCCGCCATTTGTTCGCTAACACTATCCAAAGTTTTGTTTTCAACAGAAGGCATTTTTTTAAAAAAAAGTTTGTGTTAAAATAAATTTTTTATATTTAAATAACTAGAAAAAGGCTTGAAAAAAATTATTAAAATATATTAAAAGAAAAATGAAAAAAACGAGAGGAAATTGGGGCGCCCTAGAAATTGGGGGTACAATTAGGCGCGCGGCCATAACGGCGCCTAGCCATAACTTGCTTCAAAATTTCCGAATCTTACCAAATTTAGTATTAAACGCTTCCTCTCATCGAGCTAGAGAGATTGGTACCAAAATTGATAAGGGCCAGAAATTTTCCAACAAGTTATGGCTAGGCGCCGTTATGGGCGCGCGCCTAATTGGGGTTGCCCCAGAAATTGACAAGAAAATTCGATTTCTGTTAGAATTGGGACAGGTGAAATTGATAGGCTTCCCTCGAAAGACCCTAGACTTCCTGCAGAAAATAAACCAGGCTTGGTAATGGATACGGATACAGATAAGTTAAAAATGCCTGCGGATATCCGCTGTATCCGCCGTAAATATCCGGATATGGATACCAAAATCCATGTTTATTACCAATCCTGAAATAAACAGTTGCCCAAAATCCCGGACTTTTTTTTGACTTCGAATTCGAAGCTAGATTCAAAAAAAATTTTTTTTAACTCCGCCCGATACTTTAAGTGGGCTAATCCTTATCTAGGAAAAGAACCGACGTCCAGTAAATAAAAGGAAACTTTGAAAGGCCCATCACTTCTGATTATCGTATAGAGCTCGAAGGCCCTAGACTTCCTTGCAGAAAATGAGGAAACTCTAAAATATTAGGACCTTGACTAAAAAATGAAGACCATATCCAACCAGGAAAAAATAGTTTAACACTTCCCCTACCCCCAAAAAAATCCATTTTGTCAAAGCTCGAAATCTCTGATCAGTTTTAAGGGAAAATCAATTTTTAGGTCTTTACTAAACACAAAATTTCTCTAAAAATGAGTCAATAACCTCTGACTTTCCCATAACAAATACACGATAAGCATTGATACAAGTTGGCATTAAAGTAAAAAAATGCCGTAGTCGATAATCGAACGCTTTACAGACAAAATAAAAAATTTGTGTTGGGGTCAGTTGAGTGCGGCTAGTTAAGTGCTAGGGGGATTTAACGGGCCATAACTTTTCTAGCCTTGATCCAATCTGCTTAAGTATTATACCATTCAAAAGCCCTCAAAAAGCTCTATCTTTTTCCTAATTGGATGGATCAAGTCTGATCACCCGTTACCAAGTTATAAGACAATAAGTGCAATTATTTGGTGTTTTTCACGTTTATCAGGCTATAACTTTCTACTGAGTGATCGAACTTGATCCATCCAAAGAGAAAAAAGATAGAGCTTTTCGAGAGCTTTCGAATGATATAAGATTCACTTTGATTGGAACAAGCACAAAAAAAGTTATGGTCTATCAAATCTCGCTGGTGCTCAATTGGTCTGTTCGTTTTAAAACGAAATTACAAAATGTCTAAAATCAAAATGGTCAAAGGAGGCAAAATTCTAATAAACTGCAAAGCATATAAACGATAAAATTTAATTCATTTTCGCCGAGCGTCGTGGCGGGCGCTTGTGATCCAGTTTCTAGGAGGCAAAAGCACCAATTGACGGGTGTGCACAGAGCGAGTGTCTAGAGCAAGGGCCAAGTCAACAAGGGGCGCTAGCGGGAACGTTAGTGCTCCTGGTTGTTTAAAGAGCAGGGCAACGGTTCAGGCCCGAAAGGGAGCAGACAAAACCTGCCGCTTGGTCACAGTGTTCAGACAGCACTTGCGAGCATGCCATTCCAACGTTGATTTGGATTGCTTTTTTGTAGTTTTTTTAATATGTTTGACCCAGCTAACGTGATTTCATCAAACTCAAAAAAATTATAGCAAAATTTAAAATAAATTAACTTTTTTAAAGAAATTTCTATGTGAAACTGTGTAGATGACAAAACGAGTAATTCCAAAACACGCAACAAACAAAGTTGTTGTTTGTCAAGGTATTTTTGGTCAAGGTATTTTTTGGTCATTGAGTGTTTTGGTCGTTCCATGATTTGATAAGACGTCTTTCCGAAAGTTAGCCTGACACGAAAATAAATAATTAAAGATAACAGCACTAGTCTCAAAAGGCACGAAACAAATTGGACCGAATTTTGGTAAGCCCTGTTTTGCTCCTCACCCATATAGAGTCAACGTTGAAACTTTGACCTCATATATAGTTAAAGATTTGATAGGAATAAATTGTCCAAATAAAAGTTTATTCTAAAAATATAAGGAAGAAATCTATAGATAAATAAAAAGATTTAAAAATATAAATAAATCATGATAAATTGAAGTTCAAGGAATATGCACAAGAAAAAAAGCCTAAAATCTTAAAAATGAAATTAACTTTATAAAGCACCCTGTATTTTAGGTTAAAAAATTAGCCAAAATTAAGTTTAGTTTGATCATTTTTAAAAATATTTTGAATATTTTAGGTAAAAAACTGTGCATATTGCTGGATTGTTTTTAAAAACTTTGTGTTAATCAAGAGGTAATAATAAATACATACCGTATTTTTTGTATTAGAGCCCCATGGGGCTCTATCATTCAACTATTTAGTAAAGTGGAGCTTTACAGCGGTGGGCTCTAATTGAGCGTGCGGCACTATTTTTCGGGGTATATACACTAAGGGGCAGGCCGAAACTTGCGGACCGACTTTTGCGGACCGAAACTTGCTGACTCGACGAATTACTCAAAACATAGTTCATTCGAAAGAGCTCGTCGAGCTGAGTCGAATGACATCAAAATCATCATGATTGTACAAGCTTGGACAAAGTTACGATAGAAAAACAAAAACCTAAACCTATGGTCCGCAAAAGTCGGTCCGCAAGTTTCGCACTACCTATTTTTCAACCTATTTTTGAAAATAGTTAATAGAATTTTAAATTATAAGCTTAACTATATTTTTCAAATCAGTTAGAATTTAATCACAAAAACAAATTTCGCCATTGGGATATTACTTAAGTGTATAGTTACGCGTGTACAGTCCGAATCCTAACGAGCCTTTGAAGGTTCTATTCTATTTTGCTACAGTCCATACGGTTCACTCCTTAGTGTATATACCCCGGTTCAGTCCCAATTGAAGGATATAGATGTGATTAAGAATATATTTGGGGATTAATATGGATATCGAGGGATTTGTGGAGTATCAATAATTTGGGGATTAATCGGATATAGGAGCTCTAATTCAGCGTTGGGCTCTATTTTTCAACTGTTCTTGAAAGTGGGGCTCTAATTCAACGTGGGGCTCTAATACAAAAAATACGGTATATTAAAAAGAGGTAGACAGAAATTTCGAAATGGAAGGGCCTAACAAAACTAATTATAACATAGACCGAAGTTGGAAGGGATCCCTAATGTGAGGCACAAAATCGAAAAAAACCGAAAAAAGATATAGTGACATCATTTGCATATGTATCCCTCCTCAAATCAACTTTCCAATCCTTCTTTGTTTAAATTTCTTATAAACTAAATTTAAAATTTTTTAAAGAAAGTTGATTTCAATATTTTAAAATTTTTTGCAAAAACAGGCGAAAAATCCCATTTTCAAAAAATCCTATCTTTAGTCCGGAAAAGGGTATTTTCAAGCGGTTTTGTGGTAAATACTCACAAAAATATGCTTTATCAAATGGGTTTGTTAAATTTTTCTCGAAAAAACTTTCCGAGGATATGGGATTTGGTATATCCAGAAGATCCGGATTATCTCGGCCAATTTTCACTTTCATGAAAAATGCAGAAACATGTCAACTGAGATACAAATAGAGCTTTCGATTGC